TCAGGTGGCCCCGAGCGAGGGGGGTGTCCTCTGGCCGGTGGCGAGGTCGGACGCGCTAGCGGCGGTACCGGCGTTGGTGTCGGCGTGAGGAAAAGTGGTGGGGGCCGTGTGGTTGCCCTGGCCAGTCGCGACACTGGTGCTGTGGTGTCCCTGGCTGCTGCCCCCAGCCCTGGCAAGGGTGGTTTCCAGGGTGACGGCAGGCGGTCCGCCGGCAGCGATTCCGGAGACTCTCGCGTCCCCAAGGGGTGTCGCGTTGGTGGTCCCGGTGGCTGCTGCCGCGGCCGGTGATGCGCCCATGAGGCGGGCAGTGGTCCCGTTGGGATGGTGTCGTGGGTTGGCCGCGGCCTCCCCGGCGTTGTCTTCCTCGTCGGAGATGAGGATGGCGTCCTGCGCCAGGTCTGGCTCCTCGTCTTCGCCGGAACTTATCTCCATGATCTCCTCCTCGGAGATGTCCTCGTAGACCGCTCCCAGGGTTCCGGGAACGGCTACGGGCGGATGCCGGGCGACCATCGGCTCGACAGTCGGTGAGGCGGCCGGCGGCTCGTGGCTGGCCAAGGCGGCCATCAGCTCCTCGAGTGGAGCGGCGGTCAGGGGGCTCATTGGGGGCCACGGCGGTGGTCATGGGCTCGTCCTGAGCCAAAACGGAGGTCATGGGCTCGTCGGGAGCCAAAACGGTGGTCATGGACTCGTTGGGAGCCACAGCGGCGGTCACGGGCTCGTCGGTAGCCAAAGCGTGGGTCGTAGCCAAAGCGGTGGTCACGGGCTCGTGAGCCAAAGTGTTGGGCTCGTCCGAGGCCAGAGTGATGACCATGAGCCCGTTGTTGGCGATAGGGGTGGTCAGGTCGGAGATCCTTAGTGCGGCCATCGACTCATCGGGAGCCCCGGTGGCAGGCGGACTGGGGTTTCTGCCCCGTCCGGGTAGCGTCGCCTCTGCCTGGAAGTCGTCCAAGCAGAACGGTGTCGGGACCCCGTCCTCGGCCAGGATCGCGGTCATCATGTCCTCTAAGGACAATCCCTCGCACCAGGTCGGACTGATCCTCGGCGAGGATGAGGATCCGGTGGCGGCCTCCACCGGCGGCGTTGGCTCCAGCGGGACGTCAGCGGGTGGTTCCGTGCTGGCCGTCGTAGCTGGCAGTGCGGCTAGCAGCGGTGTCCCGTTATCGTCGACGTTGAGTTGCTGACGGATCGGGGCCAGCGGCGGTGGTGACCCAGCGCTGGTCGGTTTTGCAGCCGGGCGGGATCGCTGACCAGTGGCTGCCGGCGGCAGTGGTGCAATCTGGGCGTCCATCGCGGGGTGAGGTCGCCGTTGGATGGGCGTCAGTGGTGGTGGCGACTCGGGGTGGTCGCGGTCCGACGGAGCGGTTGGCGCAGGCTGGGCTGGAAGCGATCGCTGCTTCGGCTGATGGCGGTTGCGTTGCTCCTTGCGTGGCATCCTGGAAACGTTTGTGCGCTTGAAAGCTCCCACGCTACCATTTATAGCTAACGGACGGCGAGGGCGGTATCGAATAATCGATAGGTCGTGCGGCGTGGTTATCGCCCGGTAGCTAGCCCTTTCCGGCGATCTGGCAACTCTGTAGGTGAACTCTGGATGGCTGTGGAGAGTAGAAAAATAAGGATTAGTTTTCCTCCCCTGGAACTGGCGATTCCCCTCAGTGGATTCCTAGGCTATTCTCCTGTGTTCATGGTGTCTTGAGCGTGGATGATTTGAAGGAGAGCGGCCAGGGTATGTTTTCCCCCTGCGGGGGGTGGGGACGTTGGACGAGCGCACTCATCAGCAAGTGGCCCCCACGATACCCTGGTCCTCTTTGGCCCTGGCGTCGTCGTCGTGGTCATCATCCTGCCTGGTGCGTCCATCTGTCTGTGCTGGGTCGTTGCTCTGGCCGTTTTCGTCGTCGTCGTTGTCGCTGTCTTGGTGATATGGCTTCAGGTTCTGAATGCAGGCGGTGCGTCGGCGGCGGCTCCCCGGAATCTGTAGCCGTGCTATATTCGGAGAGGGGAACTTGATGACCCGGTATGGCCCCTCGTATTTGGATGCCAACTTGGCGGCAAAGCCTTCGGCGGCGTTTGACAAAACGTGGCGGCGCACGAGGACTAGGGATCCGAGTGGTGGTCTCCACTCGCGTCGGCGCAGGTTATAGTGCCTTCCTTGCTCTGCTGTGGCTCGTTCTGCGTTTTCCCGGGCGACCTGGAAGATGCTGTGGAGCTGCGTACTCCTCTCCGTTGGCGAAAGTTGAGCCGTTCCTCTTCCTGGAGTGACTTCGTCGTAAAGGGTGTTCGGCAGGCGTGGTTCCCGGCCCTGTACGCGGAAGGCGGGGCTGAATCCCGTAGTGTCCGATACGCTGCTGTTAATTGCCAGAGAGATCTCAGGCAGAAGGTGGTCCCAGGCACTCTGCGGCGAATCTCCGAGGTATTGTGCGATCATAGTCTTCACGGTCCGATTGGCCCTCTCCGTGGGATTTTGTCGCGGCGTGTAAGGCGCGGTATGTTGTAATTCCATTCCCAAGGAATTGCAAAAAGCTTGAAAGGCCCGGCTGGTGAATTGCGTTCCATTATCGCAAACGAGAGTCTTTGGGATCCCAAATCGGCTGAGTATTCGCTCCCGAAATGCTCGCTCGAGGTACGGCACCGTTGCGCGGCGTAAGGGGACGAGTTCCACCCATTTACTGAACGTATCAAAGAAAACGAGGAGCACCGTGTTCCCTTGCTTGGATCGTGGCAGGGGTCCCACGAAGTCGGCGCACAGCACGTGAAATGGCTCGTTGACTTGCCGTGTAAACATCTTTCCGGCCGGCTTTTCCTGGCTTACTTTAAACTTCTGGCAGCTCGGGCATCGTCGCACATACTGGGCCACCTCTCGGAACAGGCCTGGCCAGTAATATTTCTGGGCCACCCGCGTACTGGTTTTGCGGATGCCCAGATGTCCAGCCGTTGGATGGTCGTGGCACTCTTCCAATACCCTTCGTCGGTATGGGGCTCCCACGCAGAGTTTCCACGGCGTATAGTCTTCTTCCTCGGGGCGTAGACCTATGCGTCGGTACAGCTGACCGTTCTCCTCCCGGAAATCTGGAAACTTCGCTGGCTCCTGTTGAATTCGTCGTAGCATCTTATGGATCCATTTGCATTCGTTGCCCTGCACCTGCGCCTGTTGAACAGTGGCCAGCGGCTGGCGTGACAATGCGTCGGCGACCAGATTCTGGTTCCCGCGTCGGTAGCTGATATCATACTGGAACTGTTGTAGCTCCAGCGCCCACCGCGCGATCCTGCCCGTAGGGTTGTCAATGGAATTTAGCCACTTGAGTGAATGGTGGTCAGTTAGTACCTCGAAGCGGTATCCCTCGATGTAGCAACGCATTTTTCGGATGCCCCACACGATCGCGAGACATTCTTTCTCCGTCACGGAGTAGTTGCGTTCTGCGTTGTTTAGACGCCGGCTGGCGTATGCGACGACTCGTTCCTGTTCGTCTATGGTCTGGGTCAGCACCGCTCCAATACCATACTCGCTCGCGTCGGTTTGTAGTACGAACTTCGCCTCGAAGTCCGGGCAGGCTAAGATTGGAGCCTCAGTTAGGAGCTTCTTCAGTTCAGGTTGAAGGCTTGTTCTTGCCTCTCAGCCCACTGCCACTTCCGATCCTTCTTGAGTAGAGATGTCATCGGCTCGACTACGTCCGCGAAGTTGGGCACGAAACGACGGTACCATGAAGCTATCCCAAGGCATCGGCGAAGTTCCTTGAGATTCGTTGGCGGCGGCAGCTCCCGTATGGCGGCGACCTTCTCTGGATCGGTTTGTATTCCGGCCTCGCTGATAACGTGGCCCAAATACGTTAGGCTGCGCTGGAAAATCTGGCACTTGTCCCGGTTCAGCCGTAAATTTGCCGCTCTGAGTCGGCGGAACACCTCACGTAGATTCCGGACGTGCTCCTCGAGTGTAGCTCCGATCACGATGATATCATCAAGATATGCGAAGGCGTGTGGCTCCATATCCGGGCCAATGACGGTATCCAGGGCTCGTTGAAAAGTAGCCGGGGCCGAGTGCAAACCAAAAGGCATCACTTTCCAGTGAAACAAGCCGCGACCTGGAACGGTGAATGCGGTACACTCACGGCTGGCTGGGGCTACTGGGATCTGCCAGTACCCGTTCTTCAGGTCCAACGTGGATATATATCGGGCGTTCCGAAGCCGCTCCAATATATGATGGATCCTCGGCAAAGGATAGGCGTCCGGTATGGAGTTCTCGTTCAGTTGCCTGTAGTCCACACACATCCTGACGTCTCCATTCTTCTTAGCGGCGATGACTATCGGAGCACTGTGAGGGCTCCTGGAGGGCTCGATGCGCCCGTCGCGTAGTAGCTCGTCAATCTGGCGGTCGATGACGGCTCTCATTGCAGGGTTCCTGGGATGGTATCGTTGTTTAATGGGGCGGTCGTTGCGCATTACGATGCTATGCTCGGCGATGTGAGAGACGCCGGCGAGGGTATCGAATCGTGCTAGTTCTCGTTCTAGGAACTTTTCCACCCAGGGCTCTGGGTAGTTCCCGTCTTGGCCGCTGGGGCGTTGTTCCTCCTCGGTGCTGCATCTGGCGTTGGCCATTCCGCAAGATGGTGTGCTCTCGCTCGTGGATGATTCTGGTGTCCGGAACCGAACTCTCTTGCCCGTTTGGCGAAAGGGGTTCCGGCGGACAGCCGATGCGTCGGGGAGTGGCAGGATTCCTGCCCAGCTTGGAGCTGTGCCTGCGTCTGCGTGGGCGTGGCGTTGGGTGCCCTCTGGGCGAGCGTGTGTGGGTGCAGCCATGCGATGTCTCTGGGCGTGGTGTTCTTGTGGAAGGTCTTCCTGCTGTGTATCTGGCGGTAGCTCGGGTGGCGATGTGGGCTGCGGCTCCGGATTCACCCTGGCGGTGGCTCCTGCCGTTTCCTCTGCGTCTGTGGGTCGCGTGCTCGGGGGTGCGTGTGCTCTGGCGACGGTGTCTGTGGGGTGTGTATCCATGTTTTTGCTCCGTGGTAATGTGGTTGCGCACTCGCTGAGTGCCGAGTCTGCTGCGCTGGTCTCCGTGGCTCTGGGTTGAATGGGTGGCTGGAGCTTGAGGGTTTGGCCGCCGCACTGTAGTGTAGCCCCGCTGTAGCATAGAAAGTCCATGCCGAGCAGGAGGCCATCCAGCACATCTGCCATGATGAGAACAGAGATGCGGACGCGGGTCTCTCCCAGCTGGATCGTGGTTCGTAGAGCATGCGTGAGCTCCCTGTCGGTTCCGTCTGCTAATTTTACTTGTGTCCGTACTGCGCGATGGTTCCTCCCGTCGTCCAGCTCTTGTGCCAGGCGCCTGCTTATGAAGCTGTGAGAGGCTCCCGTATCCAAAGTCGCGGTGAAGGGGCGTCCCTCCATGGTGACTTGGGCGCGAATACGGCTGTGGTCTTGGATGATGGCGTTGTTTATTGGCTCGGGGAGGTCGGTGGGTTCCTCGAGTGACTCCCGGATACTCGAGGCCCTTGCCCGTTTCCCGGCGCTTGGTTCCGACAGCAGTCGATGGTCCTGACACCTGGTCGGCCGCAGTCCCAGCAGAAGATAATCCTAGGGCTCCTGCATTCCGTGGCGTAGTGACCGGCCTGGCCGCAGTTTCGACAGGCGGTTCTCACATCGATTGGTTCCCCTGTTGCTCGGCCTTCCTGGCCCTGGCTTCCCGTTCGGGTTCGGGTGGCAGTGTCGTTGGAGGCATTCCGAGGACGTGGCATCGGCGGCGTGGTACGTGCGTCGGGCGGATTCCCTCGGGTTTGATGAGCCTGGGTACTGAATAGGCCCTCTGCGTCCCGTCGGTTCGGTGGGTATCCCCGAGTGGTTCGCTCTCCTCGGCTCCTGGCGACTTCGAAGTTCACCACCAGGTGGGTGAGCTCGGTCAAGGTCCTGAAGTCCTGGCGGCGTGTAAACATCTGGTATTCTGGCAGCATGTTCTCGTATATCCGTTCAAGCTCTTGCTCGGGTGAGAACCCTGCGCGGCGCATCTTCAGGCGAAGATCGACGAGGTATTGTTTAAACGGCTCGTTCGGCTTCTGGTAGTGGGCTCGGATTTCGTCGTCAAGGCGTTGATAGTACCTAGGCGGTAGAAAGAAATCCAAGAACTCTCGGCGCACTTGTGCCCAGGTTCCCCCCTGCAGGCCACTGGTACGAAACCAGCTCTCCGCTCTGCCGGATAGAAGTACGACGATGGCGTTGGATAAATACTTCCTATCGATCCGGTACGTGTCTGCCCGTTCCTCGATTAGTTCCACGAAGCTGAGCGGGTCCGAGGTGCCATCGAAGGACAGCCCCCACTTGGTCATCTTGTCCACCAGCATGGAGCTGGGGTTCACGTCGAACTGAGAGGTACCACCGCGTGGAGATCCCTCGGATTTCCCGCGTGATACTGGTGCTGGCGACGTACTGCGAGGTACGGCTAAAGTATGA